TCGCTGTCGTCGTCCAACTGGCCGACCTGCTCGACTCGGCTTGGCACGGCACAGCACGGTCATGGGTTGTGTATTTGGGCCAAGTTGATATATTTTTCTGATAAAATAATATTTGAATTATATTAATTTAATAGTATTTAAAATAATATATTTGTTTATATTATTATTTCCCCGAATTTTTTATACCGACATGTGGCATCTTCTAAAAATTGGTGGTTGAACAGTTCCTATCCAAACAGGTTGTGTCTTTTGGATACAACTTTTCAACTTATATATAAAGGCCCGCATACCCCGAATTTTGTTTATTCCAAATCTATTCTGATTTTTCTCTCTTGAAAATTATATTTCTTTCTTCTTTCATTATTATATATGTTGCATTTCGATCTCAAATATTATTTTCGTACATTTTCGTCCTCCAATTTTAGAGAGATTAAAAACGTTAGTATGTACGTCAGTCTTGTAATTTGAATGTTACTATTACAAGTTGAGATAATTGTATCCTTTGAGACGAGTGCTGGAAGACCGTCAGCACCAGTACGAGGCATTATCATCTTAAGGAGAAAGAAAGAGTAGAACGCTTGCCTCGACTGTTATCATTTTATTTCATTCATTTTTGCAAGTCGGTATTCTGCCCAACTGTTTATTCATCGCAAGAGATTATTTTGAAAATAAACTATTGCACGGTAAAATCATTATTTGCCAACAATTTCGGTGTACCAAGTAAAAACCATGGCCTTGATGCGCTGCAGGCTTGATAAGCCACAAAATTTCTCAGCACTACCTCTGTGTTTACATCCAAACTAATTCTGGGGAGATAAAATGTAGATGTTTTCTCGTCGAAATTAATGCTCGAAATGTCTAAATCTGTGGCTGAAAATTTGACACCAGCCTTTGAGAGTTCAGTTACAGAAGGAATGGTAATTTCCTCCATTAATGGAGGTTTGTTAATGGAGTTATTCAAGTTACATGTTTCATTATCTGGTTTACTTTCTGGTTTTTCTTGAGAAAACCATAATTATTCAACAAGATGTTTTATAATTATGACTACAGGAAGATTAGAGATAATTTTCCAAGGTAATTTAAATATTAATTGAGCAGGTCTTGAAAATATTAGTCTCTCGATCAAACTTACAGGACTTGTCTTCAATTTCGAAAAAGTCTTCGCCAAATAATTTTTTTTGCTTTCTCGTTTCGTCATTTCTCTCCTCGAATTCTGCCACTTCGGATGAGCCCTCTGATTTTGGGACAATCATATGGTACAAAAGGTCTAGCAAATGAGCACACTCCACAACCTGAAAATTAGGGCACTCTTGTATCGTCTTAAAAGGCAAAAACTCTTTACAGAATCCCGTCAACATTGAATATAACGTACTATCTGCTTTGTCCAACAATGATAATTGGAATTCTAAAATTTTTCTCGAGGAAAATTGTTTCGCGTGGTTACTCGCTAACAATGAAAAGATAATCAGACGATTGTGTAATAAACAAACCTCTTGGAACAAAATCTCAAAAGGGGGTGTTTTTTGAATATAAAGATTACAGTTTGGACACGAACAAGATGCCTCCAAGGAGTGCAAGCACACAAGTACAAG